TGCCTTTTAGTTTTGTTGATTGTTTCCTTTGCAGTGCAGAAGCTTTTTGTCTTGATGAAGTCCCAATAGCTCATTTTTGCTTTTAATTCTCTTGCCTTTGGGAATGTGTCAAGTAAGAAATTGCTGTGGCTGAGGTCAGAGAGGTTTTTTCCTGCTTTCTCCTCTAGGGTTTGGATGGTTTCCTGTCTCACATTCAGGTCCTTTATCCATTTTGAGTTTATTTTTATGAATGGTGTAAGAAAGTGGTTTAGTTTCATCCTTCTGCATGTTGCTGTCCAGTTCTCCCAGCACCATTTGTTAAATAGACTGTCTTTTTTCCATTAGATATTCTTTCCTGCTTTGTCAAAGATTAGTTGGCCATACTTTTGTGGGTCTAATTCTGGGGTTTCTATCCTATTCCATCGGTCTATGTGTCTGTTTTTGTGCCAATACAATGTTGTCTTGATGATTACAGCTTTGTGATAGAAGCTAAAGTCTGGGATTATGATGCCTCCCACTTTGGTCTTCTTCCAAATTACTTTGGCTATTCGAGGTCTTTTGTGGTTCCATACAAATTTTAGGATTGCTTGTTCTAGCTTTGAGAAGAATGCTGGTGCAATTTTGATTGGGATTGCATTGAATGTGTAGATAGCTTTGGGTAGTATTGACATTTAACAATATTTATCCTTCCAATCCATGAGCACGGAATGTTTTTCCATTTTTTTATTCTTCTTCAATTTCCTTCATAAGTTTTCTATAGTTTTCAGCATACAGATCTTTTACATCTTTGCTTAGGTTTATTCCTAGGTATTTTATGCTTCTTGGTGCAATTGTGAATGGGATCAGTTTCTTTATTAGTCTTTCTGTTGCTTCATTATTAGTATATAAGAATGCAACTGATTTCTGTACATTGATTTTGTATCCCGCGACTTTGCTGAATTCATGTATCAGTTCTAGCAGACTTTTGGTGGAGTCTGTTGGGTTTTCCACGTATAATATCATGTCATCTGCAAAAAGTGAAAGCTTGTCTTCATCTTTGCCAATTTTGATGCCTTTGATTACCTTTTGTTGTCTGATTGCTGATGCTAGCACTTCCAAAACTATGTTAAACAATGGCAGTGAGAATGAACATCTCCATCGTGTTCCTGATCTCAGGGGTAAAGCTCTCAGTTTTTCCCCATTGAGGATGATGTTAGCTGTGGGCTTTTCATAAATGGCTTTTATAATGTTTAAGTATGTTCCTTCTATCCCGACATTCTCGAGGGTTTTTATTAAGAAAGGGTGCTGAATTTTGTCAAATGCTTTTTCTGTATCGATTGACAGGATCATATGGTTCTTATCTTTTCTTTTATTAATGTGATGTATCACATTGATTGATTTGCGAATGTTGAACCAGCCCTGCACCCCAGGAATGAATCCCACTTAACTATGGTGAATAATTCTTTTTATATGCTGTTGAATTTGATTTGCTAGTTATCTTATTGAGAATTTTTGCATCCATATTCATCAGGGATTTTGGCCTGTAGTTAGTTCTCTTTTTTGTTGAGTCTTTGTCTTGTTTAGGAATCAAAGTAATGCTGGCTTCATAGAATGAGTCTGGAAGTTTTCCTTCTCTGTCTATTTTTTGGAACAGCTTGAGAAGGATAGGTATTATCTCTGCTTTAAATGTCTGGTAGAATTCCCCTGAGAAGCCATCTGGTCCTGGACTCTTATTTGTTGGGAGATTTTTGATAACTGATTCAATTTCTTTGCTGGTTATGGGTCTGTTCAAGTATTCCTTTCTTCCTGTTTGAGTTTTGGAAGTGTGTGGGTGCTTAGGAATTTGTCCATTTCTTCCAGGTTGTCCAGTTTGTTGGCATATAATTTTTCATAGTATTCCCTGATAATTGCTTGTATTTATGAGGGATTGGTTGTAATAATTCCATTTTCATTCATGATTTTATCTATTTGGGTCATCTCCCTTTTCTTTTTGAAAACCCTGGCTTGAGGTTTATCAATTTTGTTTATCCATCAGGAAGAGCTAACAATTATAAATATCTATGCGCCAAATACAGGAGCTCCCAAATATATAAAACAATTAACCACAAACATAAGCAACCTTATTGATAAGAATGTGGTAATTGCAGGGGACTTTAATAATCCACTTACAATAATGGATAGATCATTTAGACACAGGATCAATAAAGAAACAAGGGCCCTGAATGATACATTGGATCAGATGGACTTGACAGATATATTTAGAACTCTGCATCCCAAAGCAACAGAATATATACT